GGACATTCATGATCCCCAGAGGGTGAGTCCTACAGACACTAATCATCCCCTCAAATATTGTGACAACTACTGGATGGACTGCCGTTAATTCTTCTACAGATATTCAAGGTCTCCAGAGGATGAATCCTACGGGACGTTGGTTGTCCTCTGACTTTTGTTCTTGCCCCAAAAAACAGATCATCATCATTCTATGACTTTAGTTTTAGAGAACACAGAACATGTTGTAGCTTACAGTCCTAAAGAACACTCATACAGTACCTCAGCAACAAGTGTTGAAGTCCGGCACCAGTCTGACCAGTCAACATCAATCAGTCCTAACCGGGCCTCTTCATAGTGTTGTGTTTGTTTGTACAAACAGGAAATGACAAAATAGTTGTGTAAAGATTAAAAAGAGATGAGCTCCAGAAAGAAGTTGGGAAGGAGTGGTGAGGAGGGGTCGTCCAGAGTTATTCAACCATCATGTGTAGAGATGTTTTGTTTACATTTACGAGTTGAGTTTCAGGCATCATCTTATCGGACTTATCCAGTCTTTACGAGACACGAATAAACTTCTCTCTCTCGACACAAGTGAGCACAGTGAAAGTGTAAACCTTTTCTTGTCTGACCCCACGATGATGTAAAAGGGAGAAGAGAAAGCAAAGTCCTTGGAGCAAAATAGGACTTGAGAACAGAAGATTTTCTTAAAAGCCTCTTTTCAGATAAACGCTGAAGTACCCCTCGGCCTTTAGTTCGCCGCCGTGAAAGATGATGTTCGTTTGATTCCACACGGCTCGTTCTTCTGCTGCAGACAGCTCTGAAGCACGTGGACGCGGATGCCAGCGTGTCAGTCTGAAATACTGCCCGTGAAAAACAAAGCTGTCAAACATCTCTAAATTTAGCACCACAAAGCAAAGTGTTTTCCAGTGGTGTTTTTTATGGAGGTGCTGAGGTTGAGACGGAGAGGTGGGCTTTGTGTATGAAGTGCCAGTCTCTGGGGGGGGGGTTAAGCCACAAGATAATCAGGAGTTTAGGACTACAAAGGCATTTTTTCCACTTAATTGGAACCAGTCAAAAGCCAGATTGATTGTATATCTTGAGAAATCTGTGGCATCTGATGAATGAGCTCTCGGATGACGCGTTAAGTGTCTTTGAAACTAGATGAAATTACTGGACGGAGGTTGAAGTGACGGGAAGAAGCGGCTGGTTTTGATGGAGCTTTTTCTCGCTGTGTCGACGCCGGGTACGCAGAGCGAGCCGGGAATTTCTCTGGGGGACATTCCCGGGGTATTCCAGCTATGCGTGTCAGAGCGGCAACAGGATGGAGGTCATCACTTATCCTGGGTCTTTAATCTCCGCCGCCACCCCCCCACCCCCCTGCTCTTTTCAATCTTTTTCCTCCTTTCCTCTCTACTCTCTCATCCCTTTTTCACCTTTCCCTTTTTCCTCTTTCGCCTCCTCCTTTTTGTGATATAGACGGAGAAAGAAAAACAAGGTGCGAGGCTTGGAGGAGGATGGATGATGGAGTCGAAGAAGCAAAAACAGCATCCCATGTCAAATGTCAAAAAAACAAAAGCCTCTCTCTCTCTCTCTCTNGTTCCACCAACATTCCCTTAAACACTTTGCATTTCTGTGTTGCATTTGCGGGAAGTGAGATTTGATTCACTCATGAGTGACTCTGTTCCAGGGAAACAACAAAAAAAAGATGGAAAATAAGCAGACACCCCCACCAAACAATAAACAACTTAACAAGCTATGTGGGGGGTTTCCAGATTTCCTCCGTGGTATCTTCATACTTTCGTGTGCTGAAAGTATTTGGTGCAGCATGCCATTTCATATGCAGCATGTTTTACTGAAAGTGCCCTCTTATGAAACAATCTACTACAATAACTGTGTGATTCACTTTTACTGGAATAATTATATTATTACATACAAGCTGCAGATGGTCTCTGCATTTCATCTGGAGCAGCACGGCTCCATGTGGATCTGATGGTCCAATACGTCGGTTCAAACTGAAATATCTCAAAAAACTATTGGACAAGTTGCCATGAAATGTTGTACGGACATTCATGATCCCCAGAGGGTGAGTCCTACAGACACTAATCATCCCCTCAAATATTGTGACAACTACTGGATGGACTGCCGTTAATTCTTCTACAGATATTCAAGGTCTCCAGAGGATGAATCCTACGGGACGTTGGTTGTCCTCTGACTTTTGTTCTTGCCCCAAAAAACAGATCATCATCATTCTATGACTTTAGTTTTAGAGAACACAGAACATGTTGTAGCTTACAGTCCTAAAGAACACTCATACAGTACCTCAGCAACAAGTGTTGAAGTCCGGCACCAGTCTGACCAGTCAACATCAATCAGTCCTAACCGGGCCTCTTCATAGTGTTGTGTTTGTTTGTACAAACAGGAAATGACAAAATAGTTGTGTAAAGATTAAAAAGAGATGAGCTCCAGAAAGAAGTTGGGAAGGAGTGGTGAGGAGGGGTCGTCCAGAGTTATTCAACCATCATGTGTAGAGATGTTTTGTTTACATTTACGAGTTGAGTTTCAGGCATCATCTTATCGGACTTATCCAGTCTTTACGAGACACGAATAAACTTCTCTCTCTCGACACAAGTGAGCACAGTGAAAGTGTAAACCTTTTCTTGTCTGACCCCACGATGATGTAAAAGGGAGAAGAGAAAGCAAAGTCCTTGGAGCAAAATAGGACTTGAGAACAGAAGATTTTCTTAAAAGCCTCTTTTCAGATAAACGCTGAAGTACCCCTCGGCCTTTAGTTCGCCGACGTGAAAGATGATGTTCGTTTGATTCCACACGGCTCGTTCTTCTGCTGCAGACAGCTCTGAAGCACGTGGACGCGGATGCCAGCGTGTCAGTCTGAAATACTGCCCGTGAAAAACAAAGCTGTCAAACATCTCTAAATTTAGCACCACAAAGCAAAGTGTTTTCCAGTGGTGTTTTTTATGGAGGTGCTGAGGTTGAGACGGAGAGGTGGGCTTTGTGTATGAAGTGCCAGTCTCTGGGGGGGGGGTTAAGCCACAAGATAATCAGGAGTTTAGGACTACAAAGGCATTTTTTCCACTTAATTGGAACCAGTCAAAAGCCAGATTGATTGTATATCTTGAGAAATCTGTGGCATCTGATGAATGAGCTCTCGGATGACGCGTTAAGTGTCTTTGAAACTAGATGAAATTACTGGACGGAGGTTGAAGTGACGGGAAGAAGCGGCTGGTTTTGATGGAGCTTTTTCTCGCTGTGTCGACGCCGGGTACGCAGAGCGAGCCGGGAATTTCTCTGGGGGACATTCCCGGGGTATTCCAGCTATGCGTGTCAGAGCGGCAACAGGATGGAGGTCATCACTTATCCTGGGTCTTTAATCTCCGCCGCCACCCCCCCACCCCCCTGCTCTTTTCAATCTTTTTCCTCCTTTCCTCTCTACTCTCTCATCCCTTTTTCACCTTTCCCTTTTTCCTCTTTCGCCTCCTCCTTTTTGTGATATAGACGGAGAAAGAAAAACAAGGTGCGAGGCTTGGAGGAGGATGGATGATGGAGTCGAAGAAGCAAAAACAGCATCCCATGTCAAATGTCAAAAAAACAAAAGCCTCTCTCTCTCTCTCTCTCTCCTGTCGGCAGATATACTCAGTCTGGGTTGTGAAGGTGGGTGGCCTGAGTGACGAGATAGTGTTATTATCTGAGTGTGTGTGTGTGTGTGTGTGTGTTGTGTGGTGCGTGTTAGTCTCGACTCTGGAAGTGTGTGGAGCAGGGAGGTTGCGGGTGAGAACTAAATGGATGGGGACAGAGAAGAAGGAAAGAGCGGAGAGAGAATAAAAGTTTATGACTTAAACCAAGAAGCAACTGTACGCGAGACTGGGGCTGCGGGGGTTCACGCATGTGGAAAGCAGCGTTACAGGCAGGAGGTATACTGGGGGGGGAGGGGGGCACGTCACGGAGGGGCGTGGAGCCAAGCTGAGTTTATCACAATCCTCGTGGAGACTGATAAACGAGGAAGGAAGGGGGGGGGGGTGCCACACACAATGCACACCACAGCCTACAGCACACACACACAACACTAGCACACACACACAGGAGTAGACACTCTTCACACACTGTGGGGGAAGAGATATAAAAGGGCTCCCAGGGAGAAAGAGCGCTCAGGCCGTGCTGCTCATTTCCACACTGCTGCGCGTCACTGAGGGAAAGTGAGAGAGGCGAGCTGTCTCCACCACAAAGGAATTAACTTTCACAGTTTTTGGGTTTTTTTTTGGTTTTTTTTCCTCCAGAAGATAAAAGGAAGTAATGACTGACTGGTTGAGGTGGTGATGGAGAGAGAGAGTTGAGGAGCTGCTGAAGCCTTTTCTCTTCTTGAACCTGAAAATGGTGTTTGATTTTTAGGGGGGTTTTTTGTTGTTGTTGTTTACTCTTCTCCCTCTGAGCACTTTTTACTTCCACAACGGGGGAGTCAAGAAGTGACTGTGGAGGAATTTAAGCTCCAGTAGAGACTGTATCCCTCTGAGCTGCTGCTCCGAGCGTAGTTTTATATTCTGTGTTCGATCAGTGGATTGATTTGCTGAGGCAGAATGGAAGCATCGTTTTTATCAGACACAGACAATCAGACGTACGTGGATGAGCATTTTTACTTCGACGACACTATCGACGGGTTCAGCGTCNACGGCTCTCTCTCTCTCTCTCTCTCTCTCTCTCTCTCTCTCTCTCTCTCCTGTCGGCAGATATACTCAGTCTGGGTTGTGAAGGTGGGTGGCCCGAGTGACGAGATAGTGTTATTATCTGTGTGTGTGTGTGTGTGTGTGTGTGTGTGTGTGTGTGTGTGTGTTTAGGTCTCGACTGAACTGTGGGAGAGAGTGCGGTGAGACAAAATGGATGGAGGGGACAGAGAAGAAGGAAGAGCGGAGAGAGAAAAAAGTTATGAAAACAAAAGCACTGTAGCAGATGGGGCCGGGGNTTTAGGGGGGTTTTTTGTTGTTGTTGTTTACTCTTCTCCCTCTGAGCACTTTTTACTTCCACAACGGGGGAGTCAAGAAGTGACTGTGGAGGAATTTAAGCTCCAGTAGAGACTGTATCCCTCTGAGCTGCTGCTCCGAGCGTAGTTTTATATTCTGTGTTCGATCAGTGGATTGATTTGCTGAGGCAGAATGGAAGCATCGTTTTTATCAGACACAGACAATCAGACGTACGTGGATGAGCATTTTTACTTCGACGACACTATCGACGGGTTCAGCGTCGCCATGGCCGCGCTCTACCTGGTGGTTTGCATCCTGGGACTGGCCGGGAACTCCCTGGTCATCGTCGCCATCTTGAAATTAGACAAAATGTCGTCTTCCACAACGGTGTACGTTTTCAACCTGGCCCTGGCCGACGGACTCTTCATGGTCGGTCTGCCGTTCATAGCGAGCCAGAACTTCCAGAACCACTGGATGTTTGGCGACACGGCGTGCAAAGTGGTCATGGTGCTGGACGGCATCAACCAGTTCACCAGCGTCTTCTGCCTGACGGTGATGAGCGTCGACCGCTATATGGCGCTGGCCGACCCACTTCGGTTCGCACGTTGGAGAACGCCGCGCTGCGCCAAGATCGTGTCGGCGTTCCTGTGGCTGTTCTCGCTCCTCACCATTCTCCCCATGGCGCTTCACTTCTCAGCCGATCATGGCCTGTGTATACCGGAGGTCGTGTCGGACGCCTGGTGGCTCGGCGTCCTCTCCTACACCTTCGTCATGGGCTTTGCTCTGCCGTTCACGATAATGACGGCATCCTACGCGGCGCTGCTGCTCACCCTGCGGTCCCAGCGTCTCCGGACCCCAACGCAGAACCAGGAGAGTCACCGGCTGGAGCGGCAGGTTACCAAAATGGTGGTGGTGGTGGTGGTTGTGTTCGGCGTGTGCTGGCTGCCGTTTTACGCCTTCAACTTCTGCTCCTTGTATCAAAACGGTCTGGTCCTGACCTTCGCCCGAGGTTTCGAGTTCGTGGTCCTGCTGTCGTACTCGTGGAGCTGCGCCAACCCCATCCTCTACGCCTGCCTCTCCGACACCTTCAGGAGGCACTTCCGCTCCCTCCTCTGCCCCGCTGACAAGTCAACTCCCAGCATGCAGTGCAACACCGAACGGTGCGACTCAAGTGACACAGGTGTGCGGGACGTCACCATCGTGGCATAGAGGGAGGACTAAAAAACTGACACAGCATTTATTTACATTTCCTGTCACGGTGCATCTCTCCGTTACTTTCAACTCCTCTACTCATTTGATTAATCCTAATTTGTGTTTTTATTTTCTCCACTTAACTCGTAAACTGCTCAAGATGTATTATTATTTTTTATTATTTTATGAAGTTGTACATATTTTCGTTGAGTTTGTTTTGTCCGAGGTGAGTGTGTTCGTTTTCTTCCTGACTGTGTTATTGAGTTGGTCGCTTACAAGGCAGGAATTCTGTTCATCACCGTCTCAAATGCAGGTGATTACTGAGGTGTCCACAGAGACAGNCGGGTGCGGTGGGGGGGGGAGGGCGGCGGCGGGGGGGGGGGGGGGGGGGGGGGTTCAACACACTTCCACTGATCCCCACGAGTTTCTGTATAGAACGAGAAAAGGCCCAGGAAGGAAAAATGTTTATCTGACCGTGTCTCGATATCGTACAGGCTTCACTTCCTGCTCCGTCCGCAGGTTTTAAACCAGAACTAATGAAATGAGGCGCAGGAGACGTGCAGTGTGGACAGGCGGAGCGTAAACAGACGAGCACGGATCACATGCCTTTCGACTGAACACGAGACGCTACGATACACACTCGCAGACAAGCTCCTTAAATGTGTGTGTGTGTCGTGTGTGTGTGTGTGTGTGTGTTTGTGTCTGTACACATGCTCCTGTTCAGGAGGCCTCAGGCTCACTGTGGTGTTCTGCCTCATGTTGACTTATTTAAGAGCATTTCCAAATCACACTTTAAGGAGAAAAGAAAAGAGGCGCACTTCGTGTCACAGAGTCTATAATTGCTGTAAAATGGATACTGGCACTTAAGCTTAAAATCAGGTGCAGTTAATATTTTCAGGATGTCAGCAGATGAGACATTTTAAAAGCAGTCTCGGGTTTAGGTCGATGAAAACATGACATGACAGTCACCTGAATAATAAGAAATTACTTTCGCATAATAGCAGCTCAACTTTCAGTTATTTCAGTGATGTGGATTTGGGTGTAAGACCCCTCTTCAGTGGAGGTAACGTGCATCCTGGGTAAAAATGATTTAAAACACATTGGGAACAGGTGGAGGGATCTAATCACAGCATTTGACCGATCGTGTGTGAAAAGTAGACGGATGCAAACAAACAGGAGACATGCAAGTCATTAACAAACACCCCTGTCAAACATGGATTGATCATTTATCAGTGATGTAGATACATAGAAAAGAGAAAGCGATGTGTGTGACAATCTGTGTTTTGTGGAGGGAAAGATAAACCTGATGTTTGAATGTTTAAACACAAAAACGTGTTTTGAAAAGTGAACGATGTTACTGAGGCACATCACTTCATATTGATCATTACTGTATCTACCAAACTCTAAATCCTCTAAGTGCATTTCTTACAACGTTATTCTTCTGTATTTTGTAAATAAAGATGTTTCCTTGTGTTTTATGCCGAGCTCCGTTTCCTCCCATATGTCACCGCACAGAAAAGAATCACAGCTACGTCTTTTATTTATAATGTGTTTTATTTCATAGCACCATCTGTTTTATTTTATTTAATCATTCTGTTTTCTGGTATAAATGCAGAGGAATTCTTAGTAGTGGTGTAGTGGGAAATAACTAAGTTTATTTATATAAGTATAGTACTTTATACTTGTACTCCTTTGCACTTCATTACGATGTTTCATTCAAAACAATAACCATCATCTTATAAAATGAACCAATCAACGACCTCCACTTTCACCTGCAAGAACATTAACCTGCTTCTTACATATTGATGCATCAATAATTAATTCAGTAATATAATGCTATATATGATACTTCTGCTTGTAGCTGAGCTCCTGTGACTTTTACATGAGGAGAAAACACAACATTTTTACAAAAGATGACGTATTTTCATTTTTAGAGATTAAATCTTTTTCCGGCTTGTGATCCATTACAGAAACACCCTGTCACACGGTTTCATTTCCCCTCAAAACTTATCACGAGGTTTCACTGAAAAGACAGTTTGAGGTTCAAACAGGTAAAATCATCCAATATTTTACTAAAATAAGAGAAAAGAAAAATTTTCTTCTGTCTGACCCCAGTGATCACGACGTGTGTACATGTGGTGGGGGCTGACCCCCAGTTCACCCTGAACACCGAGATACAGACAGGTGACGATTTTAAAACAAAAACCGAAACCATCATCTAAACACCACATCTCAACAAACCGCCAAAACCACCACGGCCTTCATCTGTACGACGAACGAGCAACCTGAGGGTCTCGTCTCCTGACCGTCTGAGACTTTCCCCAGAGGGCATCCTGTGAACTGGAAAGACTCTGTAAATGTCAAGCCTGCTAGCCGAGACCCACTCGTGTCTGTTGGCCTGTTTTTTGTTTTTTTAAAAGAGCTAATAAACCCTTCCCACATCTCCGGAAAGTTTTAAAGATGCTCCTTTGCCAACGGCAAAAGAGGAAATTTGGTGGACAGTAACTAACTACTGCAGAAAGGAGGCCAAGTTCAGCATCAGCCCAACACTCACTCATTCTGTGATTTCAAATATAAAACATAATTTAAATCATATTAAGAGCTGAGGCCTGAAGTTTGTTCGCAGCGATGGACGACTTTTTTAATGTTTTAATGTTCACATGAGTTTCCAACATCTATTTAGCAACTAAATATTTGGTCAATAAATTACTCACATTTGAGATAATTTCACCTTGGAACTTTATCGCACTCTCACTCTCGTGTTGTCACCTAAATATGACCCGATGGTGGATTTGGTGAAAGTAAGGTAGAAATTGATAAAAATGACTTTACCTTATAAAATAGTTTTCTAATCTGCAGTCCGTGCCTCGTCACGGGAGAGTGCTCAGGTTTAGCTGAGAGGGGCACTGAGTCCATGTTATCAGTCTGTGGACCTAGTGGTGGGGGCAGGGTGAGGTGGTGGAGTTCAGTGAGGCCGTGCTGGGATGGTATGTGTTATTTTTATACCTGTCTGAGAGTGGTAATTCACACAGGTAAGTAACGTGAAAATACAGGAGGGCTCACCTCACCTTTCAGATGAATGTCACGCTGCAGGTTTATCACCTTCATGCGTCTTCAGTTTCCATCAACACACTAGAGGTCGCTGTAGATCTCAAGATGTTGTAGCTGCATGTTCTGAAAAAGAAAATGAGAGAAGAAGCAGTAAAGAGATGTTAGTCATTCTCTCTCAAACTGCGCTTCCATCTGATAGGTGGATGAAGATATTCTTGCTTGGGGAGAACTGACCCGACGTGAGGAAACGTGCAATTACTACAGGCCGACATTCAAACAGGTGAAAGGAAAGAGGTTTGGTCTCAACAACAACCCCTCCCAAACAAAAAGGATTTATTTTGTAATGCTGTCAACAGGATGGTTTATTAACACATGACCTGTATTTACATTTAAATAAAAACTATATGCGGTAACAAATCAAGGATTAAAAGAAAGTAAACTTTAGGAAATTAAAAGAGAGAAAAAACAAACAATAATTTTGCATTTTTGCATTCAACATAAACATTTTTATATTCATTGCGTCTAAAGAGTTGCAGCCCCCCCCCCCCCCCCCCCTTGATCTACCATTTAAAAGCAAAGTACAATGCTGCTAATCCAGTGATGCCTCAGTATTAATCTAATACTGTAAGGCTGGTGACGTCAGCCAGCAGGTGTTCCCTCAGCGTTTGGAGTGACACAAAACAAAATCAGCTGTTTTTTTATATTGTATATATATATATAATAAAAGCAGCCGGCTGCGCTGACAACTCCACAACTCTGCACTGCTTACATGATTCAACAAAACATGAAGTGAACTGTTCAATTAACCTCCATTCAATCAAATGTGCCGGATAATACAAGAGAACAGTGTACCGTAACACCACGATCCGAAAGGTCAGACTAATTTAAAGGTCTGAGGTGTGTGTGTGTGTGTGTGTGTGTGTGTGTGTGTGTGTGTGTGTGTGTGTGTGTGTGTGTGTGTGTGTGTGTTGGTTTAATTAAAACACCGGCAGACAGCAGTTATTTTCATTGGTCCTCTTTACTGTGACTGATCCAACCTTCACCCTCTACGTGTAATTAGGACCAGATGCAAACTGCCTGAGAGGTTTCTCAATAAATAATATTGATGGGACCCCTGAGAGGGAGGGGGGAGAGAGAATGAGGGAGGGGGAGAGAGAGAGAGAGAGAATCTCTGCATGTCCATGACTTGATTAGAGGAAAAGATCAATAAAGGTCAATCAGGCAATTTACATAGTCCTCTTGCTGTCAGGCATTTTGTAATTTCTTATGGTTGCCTCGCCGCCTCCTCCTCCTCCTCCTCCTCCTCTTCCTCTTCCTCCTCCTCCATTCCAGTCATTCCCCTCGCCTCCTTTCCCAACAACTGATTCATCAACAGAAACTGCCAGGAACGATCACTCTGCAGCGTTCTTAGAAAGCATACGAAACATAACCGTTTTGCAAAGTAGAAGAAAATAGAAAGCTACTGGACAAGGAAACCCGCTAACGCCAGCTGTTGTCTGGTTTTTGTTGTCAGTGTAAAAGGCCAGAACACTTTAAACGAGCCGTTACAGCCGGACACGCCGCGACGACGCCTTCTGCTGAGAGGCTGCAGTGCTCCGGGCTGCCAGAGTGAGCACAGCCCTGAAAATCAATAAAATCAATCAATAAAAAAATAAAAAACCAGAATTACCGCCTTCACAGTCGTATCCCTCCGCCACACACACTAGTTTCAGGTTACATCCTTGTTTATTTAGCATCATATAAATCATTAAACATTGCTGTGTGAAGTCTTTTGAGTTACGGCTAAGTGTTTGTTAAGTGTTTTGTGAGGACCCTGTGACCTTTGACATCCCCCCCCCCCAAAAGTCCTCAAGTCCAAGTGAACGTTTGTGCCAAATCTGAAGGGATTCCCTCGAGTTCTCCAGATATCGCGTTCACGAGGCCAAAAGTGTATTTTAGGAGGTTGACCTTTGACCTTTGACAGCCAAAAATCTAATCCCTTCATCTCCTATTGCCGACCAGATTTACAATACAATCCCTTGGAGGGGCCTGACAACGATGTTGGGAACCCCCCCAGGACTGAAGAGGTTGGAACTGCAGACCGATCAGGAATGATGGAATTAATACAAACGTCTTAATCTTCGATATTTAAAGCACATTTTGTTTTTCATGCTTCTGTACAATAAGTAGTATTTTCAACTCTGGACTTGAAACTTGTGTTTTCAGACGGTTGGAGGGAAGATCTGAGGTGCGAGTCCTCTGCGTGTAGGAGAAGAAAAGACTTCTGCCTTTTTGATTCTGAA